TATTTGTTAAAAGAACAAATCGAATGTAAAAATGAAAGTTGCACATCATATAAACAAAATAGTGAAAAATTAAAAAAAAAACATTCATATAAAATCATTTCGTATGAAATTATTAATAACAAACATATGAGATCCAAACTGAGTATATTCTTAATTGTGTATTAGAATGACAGAGTATATTTAAACTTCATTAAAAACGAATAATAACATCAAATAAGGAATGAATTAACAGAAACGAAACAAAATAATAACCACTATTAGGTTAACCTATGTAGACATATGTTAAAGTAATACCTTGACTCTACGCGAGAGCTCGTACCATGACATTTTGACATCTTTCTAATTTGGTCTCGTTGCAATCATTAGCTAAAGCCCGATTATTACCAAAAGTAGAGATAGGTGAAGAAACATATTGTTTTTCTAAAAAATGATCAATATCAAAACATTTGGATGACGAATGAATTCTTTTCAATTTAGATTCATGAGTATTAATAGAATTATCCTCAATTTCTTCAATTAATGACGAAGAAATTGGACATTTCACCGCATAAAATTGTTGCTTGCATGGTGATCCAGATGTACTCACTGCAGGAGTAATTGGATAGCTTTCTAAATTGAATTTTTTAGATTCCATTGCCATCGGATCCATAGATCTCAAAGTTTCACAGAATAAGTTAACACCTTTTTGATTTTCTACTCTCCTAAAAGCGTCTGGACTTGATATGTCAGGGCCTGAAATAGCTTGAATGTGCTTTAGCAAAAGGCTACTCCAACGTTTAAAAATATCCTCGGATATAAAAAGATTGTAATTAATAAGTTTAAGAAAGCAAATTTCATTTGCATTAACTTCATTAACAGGAAGACCAGATATTTTGGACCAGGCACGATTTGAATAATTACGATCTTGAAGATATTTTGATGCAACGATAAGAGATGCCAAAAATATTCGTCTACCACAAGTTGCAGGATCATTATTTTGACCTGAACATCGGTTCGTAACTGAATTATACTCGGAGGTTTGTTTGGTATATTGGGAAATAGAAGCAATTTTTGGTTTAATTCGAAACAAGTAGAATAATGCAGTTTGAAAGGTTGAATAGGAAGTACGCGAACGCCGTAAAGTTTCTTGAACAAACACACGTAGAGTAATGATTTTGGCGCATGGGCTTACGGAGAAATTGGCCCAAATTACCTCGATAATGAGGCAAGCGATGTCTATAATCAGGCATTATAGTAAGTTGAATTTGCGTGGTATTAATTTTTAATGGTTAGTGTGAGTCACTCTTAGTGTTGTTTAGTCGACTTAGCCATCGACTAATAATAAATGCACTTATAAATAAAGAAATATAAAGAAATATATATGTATATATTTCTACATATTTCATTTTTTTATAAGTATTAAATATTAGTCGATAACTGAGTTTACAAATAACACTGGTCACTCTCACTCACCAACTAAGTTTTCAACAAAGACAGCCTTTCTATATCTTTCACTTATTAATGACGGAATTATATTAAGATTAGAAAATTCTTGATTATCTTTTTCTGGAGCATCAAGGTGTTCGGTCACAGATGTATTATTATTAAGAAATTCTTGTTCATCATTTTCTAGAGCTTCAAAGTGATTGGTTACAATTGAGAGATTGCGATTGATACTGGTCGCATTAACAGGAATTCTAGTATTGTTAGAAATATTAATGTTGGTCGTAGGAACTCGATTTTGATTATTTACCATACACAAACGATCATGCATGATTTCAGGAACCTTGTTAATACTTCTTGAAATTTCATTAACATTATTGGTCATAATTTGAGTTAGAGATTCTGAAGGATATTGTGGAACTTTATCTTTACTTTGTAAAATTCTTAAAGATGTGCATAAATTCCTACGGGACTGACACTTAAAATGTGATGGTGATGTTTTGCGACATGTGGAATATGATGCCACAAATCGGGAACGCATATTTTTATGCAAATTTAAATGAAAATTTTCGCCAGAGTTATCAACGTATTCATCTTCGTTAAGTTTTATACGTTTTTGTACAAATTGTTGAAGACATTCTCTATTCTTAATTGGTTGCTGTTGCAGGAACACACCATCATAGTCACGTTTCTCTCTTGTAAGATTGTTGTTCATGTTTAAAAATCACCTTGTCGAAAGATGATCAAGAATTTCTCAAAACAAGCTTTAAAGCAAAAATGACATGTCTTTCTTAATATGTGAGAAGAGATAATAAAGTTATAAAATATTTAAATTTAACAAAACAATAATAGTAAAGATTGAGATAGGCTAGAAGATGAACGACTAAGTATTTTGATAAGAAACGCCGCAGATTCTTTTTGTTTATTATTAATATTTCATCAAGGAAATAAACGGAGAATTTGAGCCTTATTTATAAAAATTGATTTTAATTATTTTAATTGTATAACGATAAACTAAGGGGTTACGCAGCAATGCGCAGCGGTGAAAAACATCCGGCCGTAATGTGACCTTATGTGTTTCATCTCGTGGTTTATATAACTGCAATTATAACCTGAAATAATCAAGTTCCGGAACGTGTAATACATTAGATTTTCTGGTAAACAAACAGCAAAAGGGGTTCAAGGGAGAGCATCTGTGTCAGAATTCTACGAAATGTGTAATGCTCGATTACTGCATCATTGTTTCTGATTTAGGTTAATCTTAATTCTAAGCAATTGTTCCAAGGCACAGTATCATTATAATCTAACCTTATCAGGAAATGTATGCTTTGTTACAGATACACTGATATTACGTACTATACGTTTTTTTTTTTAAATAACACTATTTTAGTGTGGAAATGCCGCAGAGCGAATATAATTAATGTTAAGATTTAATTGTTACGTATCAAATGAATATTCAAATTGTCATGTGCGAAGAATAATATGTAAATTTTTCTAAATTTCATAATATTTATATTTTTTACTGGCGATACGTAGCTGCTTTTTTGAAAGACCAAATTTATTAAACTTATTATAATACCGTTTACATTTCTTATTTTACTTAAAATCCTATTTAAAACCATCATTCTTTTTAAACTAAATTAATTGTACTTTGAGGTACTTTGTATGGATTTGAACACTATACTACCGGATATTTATAACTCAATAATTAGGTTGGTACTAAGCAGTGCTAAATTGTAGTAGTCAAATTGGTAAATAAAATTACGAAAATCTTTGTTAATTAAGGTTACAAACCAATTTATTAGCATCCATTTATACTCGGATAAAAATGTGATAAGTAAAAAAAATTAATTTACAATTATACATGTGACCGAAATTGTTTCGGCTTTTGTCGAATTACGCTTATCATTGCATCGTAATTAGTTTCGAATAAGCCCGAAATAATTTAGGTCACATGTATATTATACATTATAGTTTACCCAAGGTATTAAAAGAATAATATTTCTTGCGGATACTATATTTATATATAGTTATAGTTACATATAGTCTATACTATTATAACTATATTCCTTTAACAGTTATATTTGTTTTATTTATGAAAATGTGAAATTACAAATTAGATAGTTAGTCTAACAAGTTTTTTTTATTGAATTCCTTATTTTTTAATAAGAAGCACTATTCAATACTTTTATAAATACTCAAATATAACCTGTTATATTAGAAATCTAGTGATAATTGTTTGATTATATAGAGATCAAACTAGATAAAAGTATAATAAAATTATTATATATAATAATAGAAATTTTAAATAGTAAAATAAATAGTTTTACTAGTAAAACTTGAAATTCTAAAAAAAAAAAATTATTTTTGAATATAAGTAAGTCTAGTTTGTATATTAGTAATACTAACTTGGTTTAGTAACTAATTAAATTTAGAAGTATTTAACTAACTAGTAAGTAACAAAGTATAAATAAAAGTAAAAATAGTAGCAAACCAAGATTATATAAATATTATAAAAATTATAAATTAGATAATATATAAAATAAGAATAAATTATTCTAGTAGATTTGTGTTAAAATTAATTAGCTTTGTAATATCTTTATATATTAGTATCTCTTAATCTATAAGCTATTTTTAAATAAATTTGTCTAGAAAATTTGTATAATACTACTATGATTTATATTTTTATAAAATTAAAATATTTAAACAAAGATTTTTTAATAATTTTTTATTTTATTTTATTTTATTTTATACAAATATCATTGACTTAACTTTATTAATTTCATAAATTTTAGAAGTGATATATATTGTGAGAGTACAACTAGCCACACATACAATTTTAGGTTGTCTATTTTAAGTAGTCTGTCTGAAGGTTCTACACTAGCTGCTATATCTAAAATCTCTTAGAAGATTCTCTATTTAAACTCTCTAGTCCTATCCTACTTACTGCAAATATTACTCTTATAGTTAATCTTAATCCTATACTATTTCACTTTAGGAAGTACTCAAGTTGACATTAGTTGCAAACTTTACTATTATGAGTCTAGGTCTTATCTAAATAAGTTCTACTTCAATGCCTCCTAATAGATAGGTATTATAATACCTAACTATACTATACTATATTCTTATTCTAGCTTGTATATACTCTTATTCAATATTTATATGAATCTGGTTTTAGCTGTAACTTTCTACTAGTTTAGACTTCTGTATTCTTCTGAATGTTTCATGAGGCAGATTCTTCTAATTTAGTTAGCTACTAAGCCAAGTTAGTATTATCATAATATCTAATATTATAGACTTACTCGCACCTACTTGATCTATATTTTCATACTTAGAAATCTTTGCTAGATTAAGTATTAACTAGCATAACTATCAAAATCTATACTACTCACTTAACTCAGGATTTCTACTAGCAGATCCTCTGCTCATAGATCCTATCTTAATTTATTCATATAATGCAACTCTAACATTTTATCATACTTCTAATATCTGAACAACATTGATGCAATATAATTTATAGAGTTATAACCTCCAAAAATAGACAGAGTTTACTGTAAGTTGGTTATAAGGTTTGAGAAATTATTCAAATTATTGACAGAAGGATTTAAACTCTAAACTTATTGCATAGTAGTCCAACAACCTATTTACTATACTAGATTACTAGACTTTAATAATATTTAAAAATAAGGATTATATAATTGTAGTATTTATTTTTATTTTATAAGAAAAAAAATATAAATTACTTATATACTAAAGTAGGTCTAATAATCTAGTGTAGTGGATAAATTATCAGACTACTATGCAATAGGTTTGGAGTTCAAATCTTTCTGTTAACAATTTAAATAATTTCTCAAACTTTGTATCTAATTTACAGTAAACTCTGTTTATTTTTGAGAGTTGTAATTCTGTAAATTATATTATACTAATGTTATTTAGATATTAGAAGTATGCTAGAATATTGGAGTTGTATTACATGAATAAATTAAGATAGGATCTACAAGCAGAGGATCTATATGATAAAAATTCAGAGTTAGATAAAGTAGTATAGATTTCAATATTATGCTAGTTAATACTTAATCTAACAAAGATTTCTAAGTACAAAGATATAGATTAAGTAGGTGCAAGTAATTCTGTAATATTGGATCTTATAGCAATACCAACTTGGCTTGGTAGCTAACTAGATTAGGAGAATTTGCTTTATAAAATATTCAGAAGAATACAGAAGTCTAAACTGGTAGAAAGTCATAGCTAGAACCAAATTCATATAAATATCAAATAAGAGTATATGCAAGCTAGAATAGAAATATAATATAGTATAATTGAGTATCATAATACTTATCTATTAGAAGGTATTGAAGTAAGACTTATTCAAGTAAGATCTAGACCTATAATAGTAAAGTTTGTAACTAATATTAGCTTAGGTACCTCCTAAAATAGAGTAGTACAGAGTTAAAGTTAACTATAAGAGTAATATTTGTGATAAGTGAGATAAAGCTAGAGAGTTTAAATAAGGAATCTTCTAAAAGATTTTAGGTATAGTAGCTAGTATAAAACTTTTAGGCAGACTATTTAAAATAGATAATCTAAAATTGAATATATAACTAGTTATACTCTTACAATATATATCATTTCTAAAATTTATAAAATTAATAAAGTTAAACTGATAGTATTTGTATAAAGTAAAAAAAAAAAAAAAAAAAAAAAAAAAAAAAAAAAAAAAAAAAAAAAAAAAAATTAAAAAAAAAAAAAAAAAGAAAAAATAGAAAAAAATATAAAAAAAAAAAAAAAAAAAAAAAAAAAAAAAAAAGATTTTTAAATTTTTTTTTTTAAAA